GTTGACTATTCGTATTGTACGGCGGGTTGTCGACGTGTCCGGGGAGGTCCGGGGCGTGACACAGGCAGTACCACCGGCCACCTCCTGTCACCGGGGGAAAAAATGCCAAAAATATTACGAATGCCAAATTTTTGGCAGAAATAAAAAAGATTCAAGTTGGCAGAATGAAAATGTTGGCATTCTCGTAGAAAAATATGCCTTTTTTTTGGAATTTAAAAAAAGTGGCATTTTTTACACCGATCGGAGGTGGTGGTGCAGGGAGGTAGTACAGGCGGTGGGAAAGACATTCATATTTTTTTTAATTTTTTTTATGGAGTTGAACTATTTTTTATTAATTTTCATTTTTTGTTATAATTTTTTTTATTATTTTTCTACGAATTATTGATTTTTTTTTCGAATTTCTTATGAATTAAACATTTAATTATGACTTTCGGCTATCTTTTACTAATATTTAAAGGAGGGGTAAGAATGAAAGGAAGAAATGAGTATGTTTCCAATAGGACCACTATGGTCCTATTTTGGAATAAAAACATAGCACGTCCTATTTTGAGGTTTTGTCATAGTTTTAGTTCTATTTGAAGTAATTTCTACCAACTCAATCGTAATAAGGGTCCCATAATACTAACTAGTTACTCAACCCGTGCGTTGCACAGGAGTGAAGTATTGAATAATATACTGAATGCAATTATATGAAAAAATAAAAATAAAGTCATTGTATTAGAAAACTAAGAAATAAATAATAGAAATTAAATGCAAAACATCACACGACAAAAAATATGGTCACAAAGATTACGTGCATGAAATTATTATAAATTTCTTTACATGCAACATTCAACTCAGATAAACGGGTTATGGTCGAGACCGCCACGTACAACCGTCAATACGTAAAAACAGGGCAACGGAAAAATATACCAACCTTTTTTAGTTTACGATTAATGAAATTATTCACTAAGACGTTTATAGTTCATTTAAAGGTATGCTCATAAATGTTTATGTCTATATATAATTATATCATTAAACATACACACACATGTGGTGTATAATTTTATCATATATATACATATATATATACATATATGTATATATATACATATATATATATATATACATATATATATATATATATATATATATATACATAGAATAGAGATCAAATACAAACTCTTCTTAATTTACAAAGTACAAACTCATCTTGACCATCCGATGAGTTGATCCAAAGGACATAAAGGCAAGGTGGCATTTTTGTAATAAAACCCAACTTTTTTAGGGTGCAACTCATTGAACGTCAATGTGCAACTGCTATTTTATGGCTGAATAATATGCACTACTTTGAACCCCAATATGCAATACAAAGAACGTTAAGGTGCATCGTACAAATATTTGCACAACTATATATAGGGGAGAGTTCAAGTGAGAATGATGGCTTAGGAGAGAAATAAGAACAAATCACATTCACCCAAAATAAATGATCTACGGTACTTATTGAGTTTTATAAACGGTGGCATAATTGAAATTAGTCAAAACTTTGGACAACTAACGGAAGACTTCACGTTCACATAACTGAAAAGTTTAAGCTGATAATTTATTTATTTATAGTAGCCGACTATCTTTCCTTTAAAGTGGTTAAATGGATTCTAAAAATCAGCAAGTTAGGTGAAAGCATTGCACGTATTATAGTTATTGTGTATTAGTGCGCTTTTACTTTTATCCAACGTGTGTTACTTTTTCATAGTACTTCTATTGAATTAATAACATGCTTTATTTATTTTTAGTGTATTTCTAGACTATTAATGCACATATATTACGGAGTAGTATATAAAACTATCAATTGTGCAAATCTTGGTTAATGATGTTGCACATTTATAGTAAACATAATGCACAATTTAAAGTAGTAGAGCAATTTAATTTATTTGAAAATGTAGCACATCTTGGTTAATGATGTTGCATATTTTTGTTTAAGATAATGCATAATTCAAAGTGGTATAACAATTTAATTTATTTAAAAAATGTGGTTGCACTTTGTGATTCGTAACAATGCACATTTTTGTTTTACATCGTGCACAACTTTTAATGATCAGATCAGATTCATTCTCATTTTTCTTTTAGATCGCTATCATATATTATTCAAACTCTATTTATTTTTAGTGTATCCTAGAGGATTAATTAATACATATTAATATATAAAACTATCAATTGTGCAAATCATTGCACTCACGCGACAAATGAGAATGATGTATAACGATACACATCTTGGTTAATGATGTTGCACATTTATGATAAACATAATGCACATTTTAAAGTGGTAAAACAATTTTATTTATTTAAAAATGTTGATGCACTTTGTGATTCATGACAAGCACATTTTTCTTTCAAATCATGCATGCACAATTCTTATGATCAGATTCATTCTCATTTCTCTTTTAGGATTGATGATTTTGGTGGGAACGGTTTGTCACATGATAAATGAGAATGACCTAAAAAGAAGCAAATATTGGTTAATGATGTGGCACATTTATGGTAAACATAATGCACAATTTAAAGTAATATAACAATTTAGTTTGTTTGAAAATATAATTGCACTTTGTGATTAATGGCAAACAAATTTTTGTTTGAAAACATGCACAATTGTTAACGATTAAATTTATTCTCATTTCTCTTTTAGGATATGGTTTTGATGCTAACAATTTCTCACGTGACAAATAAGAACGACCTAAAATGATGCACATCTTCATTAATGATGTTGCATATTTATGGTTAAAGTAATGCACAATTCAAAGTGGTTTAATAATTTCATTTATTTAAAAATTGTGGCTGCACTTTGTGATTCATAACGATGCACTTTTTTAAACTCATTTTTCTTTTAGATCGCTATCTTATTTTATTCGAACTCTATTAATTATATCATTTAGTATTTTAAATGTAGTTCGTATCGAACTATCAATTGTGATAATTGTTTTCCTACAATGTGCACTATTCTCTCAATAGGGGTGTAACTCTATTATTCATGCATTGCACACAAAATAATTGTGCAATTACATTGTATGTCAAATGAACAATTGCATGTGCATGTTCATAATTTCAAGTAAATAGTCAATTATGGTTAATAGTTAATTTTATAATTTTTATTATTGCTAGCTTAACATGTATGCTCTTTTAACAATATTATTGTGTAATTTATCATTGAGCTATGCACATTATTTATTCATTCTTTTTTTACACCATGCACATTTATTCTTAAATAAACTATTGTGCATCGTACTCTATCTTTTTTACAATACACATTTTGAAAAATAACTTGTTACGTTCTAAAGAGGAAGAGGCTTACTACTACTCTACTACTACTACTACTACTACTATTATTATTATTATTATTATTATTATTATTATTATTATTATTATTATTATTATTATTATTATTATTATTATTATTATTTAAAATGAAACTAATTAAGAACTATTATTAAAAAGTGCAAAAAAAAAACGTTTTGAAAGAATATAGCTATTTACTATCAATTACATTAAGCTAATACATTTTACATAATTATTTAAATACACATTAGTTCGGTAGGCAAACTACTCCTAATTGGAGAGAGAATTTAAATGTACACCCAAAAAGTATAGAAATTTTGACCAAAAGGTTGACTTAAAATTATTAAAGTTGAAAAGTGAATCCTGTCATATTATATGGAAGTTACGCAATATGTAATACGGAGCATCCTTAAATTTAATCACGGCGCATCCACATATGCCGTTAGTACTAAAACGGCATCTTAAAAGATCATACAAAATTAATGGTAGAGATGCATTCTTATTTCTCTCATTAGATGATATTCTCATTTGATCCAAACTCTATATATATATATATATATATATATATATATATATATATATATATATATATATATATATATAGGGGACGGTTCAAGTGAGAACACCCTTTTAGGAGAGTAAAAAAGAATAAGATCTGGCCATTGTTTCACTTAATCGTGTGGCACAAAAAAGACAATACGAACTAAAAAATGGCACATGATGTGCACATGCTAGGATTTAATTTGGGTAGATACGCACCATAATAATGGGTAAAGGTCATTTAGGTAAAAGATAAAAACTAGTTGAGATGCACGATTACATATTATGGAAAGCTATCCTACAAATTCGGATGGTAATTAATGCATAGTAACTCCCTCATAATTAAAATAATTTATTCTGGTAATGTTTTATCTTATTTAACTTTATAACCATATTTGATATTCTCTCACATTTAACTCGATTAACTAATTTTATAAAACTCTATTAGATTTTTTAATTTTTTTTTAAATTTAATCATTTTCTATCCAGATGCAGTATTTCGTTGATTAGCCATTTGCACTCAAACATTTAATAGTTGCACTTTTAGTTGAAACTCTATGTACTTCATATAATCTGCACTTTACTCTCCAAAATTGTGCATGCATCCATATATTTTTGAATAAAAATAAAAATAAAATATGCACGGGTGTAAACTAACAACTATCATACGATTTTTTAAATTACATATTGCAAGATTTTTCAAATGCAAGATTTGGGGATTGCAATTTAACGGTAAATCATTGCACTCTTGTTCGATTTTTTTTGCAAATATTCATTTAAATATTCACACATATTACGTTTAATCAAAGGTGCATTTATAGTAATTAAAATGTGCAATAATTTAGAAGTGCACTTTTTTTTTATATAAAAAGGTGCATTTTTTCAGTAAACGAAAACATTAATATGTGCAATAATTGCAATTTAGAAGTGCACTTTATTTTTATAAAAAGAATGTGATATTGAAATCTTTTCAATATACACGTAGTATTTATATACTTATTATGCACTAAATTGAATCGGGAATGTATATTATAGATGTAATTAAGTATGTGGTCTCATAGTTTTTTTTTAAATTTAACAATTTTTTGTTCTGTTAAAATGCACACCTCAAACATTGAAAGTGCATATTTGATCTATTTAAAGTTCATGATGTATGGTAAAGAAAAGATTTAAATATAAGAACTTCATGTACATTTTTATTGCTAAAAGTGCTAATTAGATTATGACAAGTGTATAGTATTGTAAACTAACAATTAAGAAGTACTAGTATGTCCTTAATGCACTTGTACAAACCTATGGTTACTACTCTTTTACAACAATACAATGCAACTTTTCACTTCTATGGTGCACCATTAGCTCATCTCTTCATCATGTGTGTTCTTCATTCCATATTTTCAATGTCTACCATCTGCATCATAAATAAATAAATAAAATTATCCTGCAAAAAGTAGTTTTCACAATAATTCAAATAACATTCCACGATTATTCGAATATAGATGCACTCTATTGGACCAAACGTAAAAATCATGAATAATAGTGTGTTCATAGTCAAAACTAAAGGAGAAATATATATAGTAGAATGCTCGCATAGATGATATATAGGTAAAATCATAAAAAACGATAAATAGCTACATAATCACATAGCTTCAAAATCACATTATAGTGCACTTATTAACCCAAGTTAATGCATTGTTATGTTAGTTAAACGGCATGTCGGCATTGTCATGTACATCAAATTATAAGCATAGAAAAATGCATAATGCAACTAAGTGTGGATTTTAAGTTATTCTGTGTGGTGCATACTAAACAACATGGTAGTGCATTGAAAAATGCATGTTAGTGCATTTTGTGCGAACTAAATGGAACGATCAGAACACACTACTACTGTAATACACACAAAAAGTTCCACTTAGCAAAAGAATAAGTCTTACATGAAGATCTACAAACTAAGCGATCGTATTCAAATGATTATGAATCTAATCTAGTAGGAAAAGATAAACTGTAAATTGATGAACATGAATAGTAGGAACAATAAACTTAATAATAAGGAGAATCCATGATTATAGAAATATAGATGTTAATTATATAAGTTTGATAAACTTCATAAAAAAATTGTGCACACTAAATCGATTTACTAGCATCCATAGAGAGGAGATGATTTTGTTCCAAAAGTCATCCTGCTTGAGAAGCTACAGAGATGAGTCGATGATGAAGATTAGATGAATGGAAAGAAACGTGAATTGGAAAGGAAATTAATAGAGAGAATATTATCACTTCCTAAATAATAGGTAAATGGTTCCAAGATAAAGATGTGTGAATTGGAAAGAAATGTATTGACTTCAATACCCTCTAGGAAGATTTAAGCACACGGTTAATTAGAAGTTAATCCAATGGCTCACATCTATTCTTTTTTGCTCTCCTAAGATTAAGTTCTCACATGAACCTAAATCGCTAATCGCTAATCTTAGTTAATAATGAGAACATATCCTAATCGCTAATCTTAGTTAATAAACGGATGGATGATCTCACGTGCACCTAAATGTAGTGTGGATAGGCATAGAATGTAATATCTATCTCCAAAGAAATTAATTTACGTAGGTTATCTAGGGGCAAAAATGTCATAGTGAAAATAGCATTTATGATGAATTAGTGGGTTACGTATCTTTGCTTCCCCAAAATATGATAATTCGTTACATAATTAAAGTTGATTACCAAATAAAGTTGTAGCTTATAATAATAAAACCGAACTTGTCATATATATGATATACGAATGATCATTTAACATTCAAGAACTCATACAATTATACAAGATATAATGCACGCGAATCATTAACAAATGCACAATACATATATAAAGCACCGAACTATGTATGTTAAGCATAAATATTAGTATCTCGGGCACAATTCAATTCAGAACTAATTAATATTATTTTTAACACATGAGGACTTCATGCAACTTAAGCTACTATATATATAACACACAAGAATTGATTTCTAATGCATAATACGTATATGCAGTAGTGCGGTACAATAAGTATGTACCGCATAAAAATCAGTATCTAACACACAACAATCAATGTTTATTGCACATGAATTGACATTTTACTCTTAGTCGGGATATAACACACAATAATTGGTATTTGATGCACAAACGTATGGAAAATACATCACAATTTAATACACGGTTTAATTACACTTGTTTGATGCACTAAATATATGTACTTAATTGAATTGCACAATACCTAATATCTAACACACAAAAATTGACAAATGTTGAAATACACATGAATAAATATTTAATACACTAAATCATAATTTGATGCACGAGTTAATAAATATCCTTTGATGCATGTCAATGTAGATATACAAGAATAATTATTTAATGCACATCCGCACATGAAATGAATATGTATTAATGGAAAGAAACGACAACGAAAATGTGTTAATTGCTTCCAAAATAACTTATTTTGTTCAATATAATATAATATAGCCTCAAAAAGTCAAATTCCATCTAAAATTAAATACGTAGGATGCTAAACTTACATAGTGGTGGCCGGTCAAACACATACCAAATTAATCTACTCATGCATGATTACTAAAATACCCATTAATAAAAGATTAAAATGGTATACGGATGTAGAGAGATGAGTGGCTAGGATTTGTTCTCATTTCTCACAATAAGAGGTGTTCTCATTTGAACCAAAATCTATATATGGTTATATATATGGATGTATGGGAGAGTTCTGGTGATAAAGGACTCTCAGGAGAGAAATGAGAATGAATCTGAACACTTGGATTGAATTATGTGAAGTTAAATTGTGCATTTGATTAAACTGAAATGTGCATTAATTAGGTGAAATTGAAATGTGCAGAATAAAAGATACAACTCAAATGTGCATTACAGGAAATTGAAATGTGCAGAATAAAAGGCACAAAAATACCCCCACATCATAACTTTTATTATGCACATTTTAATTTCACATAATGCACTGCACATTTCAGTTTAACCTAATACATAATTCAGTTTCACATAATGTCACTATGTCTCACCTTTTGTTCTACACATTTTGACTTTATCTATGCACATTTCAGTTCCAGCTAATGTACATTCAATTCCACAAATTACAATATAACGGTCCATATTCATTCTCATTTATCTCCTAAGATCATTTTCTCACTTGAACCTAATTCCATGGTTATATATATAGTGTGTGTGAGTGTGCATATACAAACGGCTAGTATGCATAGCACGACAACTTAGTAATTCTATAATAGAAAAAAGTCATTTCTACTCAGGTCATTATTATCACATGTCTCAAGACACCTCCCCTGTTCTACATCGCCCGAGACTAATCATTATTATCAACTTAACCTACAACAACAACCGAAATTAAAGATAATTTAGATCAAGTACCTAGAATCCAAGTAAAGACGGAAGGTTTTGAATCCAATTTCATAATTTTCATTAGTCATCCGTTTTGAATTTATTTAAAAATTACAGATAAAAAATTTGTAGAGAAAGATATGGTAGTTGCCTTGATATAGCTAGTGCATCAATTATACAGATATATTCCATCATTACACAGAGCTGGCATGAGACAACTTTAATAGAACAAAAATTAGGAAACCAAAATGTTATACTTCAAGGCCATATAAAACCACTGAATAAATACGTAGTATATGAAATATATATGTAAAAGCTTTGAGAAGACTCTTCATCTTTATGTTAATAATAATGCACACCTTTATGTTTATTGGTCATAATATAGTCCTATTTTGAATAATTTTGGCTTGCTATAAGGCTATAAGCTAGGATCTTTCCTTGATATCAGGATGTTGTTCCTGCTAAAATCTTGTACATTTACCATTGTGCTCAAATCTTTTATATTTATCCATGTTCTATCAAACTATCGCACACATACTAAAGGAAAAATGATACTCTCTAAACAAACTTACAGATTGAGAGGGGAGAGTCAAAAATCAAACGGATAATGATTGCAAAAGGTTGAGTGATATCAAGAGATTTTATTAAAGATTAGAACAAAAAACTTTACTATGTAGTCTAATCATACCCCCCTCAAAAACACATGATTCTTTTCGCCACTCCTAAACCTCAATTGTAACGAAAATGTAACACTTAAAAAGGGAAAAAAATAAGTAACATGCACACCATTGATAGTGTCTTTACATTAATTACATTAGTTATTTACGGTTGATGCATAACTCCACCATCTCTCCAAATAAAATGTATTTCCATATAAACTTGGTGTGAACATCCTATAGATGAAAATCTAGAATTGATTAGCGGCATTAAGCTTTTTTGAAGAAACCACAATAGAGTTTTTTTATGAACCTAGCATAATAGGAATCCTTTGTGCCAAAATAAAGCTAAATAAATAACTTAATAAATTTCGATTGCAACATCATTTGGGGAATAAGAAAACCTTTAGCACACATGGGTACCTTAAATGATATTAATGATTTTTGGGTAATAGAAAACCTACTTTGCACATGAGAATATGGGATCCCTTAAAGGAATTAACTGCATGGTATTCTATGTGTAACATGGACTGGAAGTTAGGAATGGACCGGTTCCGGTCGGCCCGGCCCGGGAACCGGCTTGACCCGCCACTGTGCGGGCCTGGCCCGGTGTAGCCTAGGAACCGGGCCTAGGACCGGTGTGTTAGAGCGGTCCGGTTCTGGGCCTACCCTTCCTTTGGAACCGGCCCGGCCGGGGCGGGCCCGGGTTCGGGCCTTTTTTTTTTGTTTTTTTCAATTTTTTTTTTTGTTTTTCCCGGGTTGGGCTAGGTGTTTTGAGGGGGGGGGGGGGGGGGTTGGGAGGTGGGGGTGAGGGGGAGGTTAGAAAAAAAATGAACCGGCCCGAGACCGGCCCGGACCCGGTTGCAAACCTGGCCGGTTCAAGGCCCGCCCCCAAAAAATAAAAGCGCGGTTTGGACCGGCCCGGAGCTCGGCCCGGCGTGGAACCGGTCCATGCCTATTGGAAGTCATGTGAAGAGACAATGAAGATCTTGTGAAAGTGGCCAAGGCTGAAGTAATGAAGTAATGGCTACAGCAGGAGAAGCTTTCATGGAAGTCACTTAAGCAAATCCGTTCCCGCTCTATGTTCATAATTTCATATCTTTTCAAGGATGTTCTTACCAAGGCTGAGGCCGATTTACTTAATACATCACAAATATTGGCACACGTCTGCCAAAGACAACAAGTAAAGAGATGACGAGAAGATGCATACTTATGAATATTTCTAACAAAAAAATAAGGCTCTTAAAAAGTTGGGATGTTTGCTTGTTGACTATTTCAATGATAAGCTATTTTCCAGGAGAAGTGCATTTTAGAGTAAAAAAGCAGGGTTATAAAAAGCGTCCTGGTTTAGAACCTTTAGCTTGCAGCTTTAGTTTATTTGAGGTAAATTCTTTTCAAGGAGAAGTGTTTTTCGAAGGAAAAAACTATAGTTTGAAAAGAAAGTAAATTTAAAAATTAGTGTTGTCTGCTTTGTTTTAGAATCAAGGGTTTGATTTTTTAGAAGTTTCAACGATAGATTCCAATGGAAGAAACTTAGCATATTTCATCATAGGACCACCCTAAATTGTTTTTATAAACAATGGTCATGGGGTCTTCGCTTCTTCTGAAAAGAAAATTGTGGGAAAAGAGTTTCCACTTTCCAAATGAAAATTTGTTTTTATATTTATATAAAACTAAGTTAGCAACAGAATTACAGAGAAGCTATAAAAAAATAAGACAAATAAAAAGTTTGGATGTCTGCTTGTTGAGTACTTCAATGATAAGTTATTTTCAAAGAGAAGTGTTTTTTAGAGTAAAAAAGTAGGGGTATAAAGAGCTTCCTGGTTTAGAAGCTTTAACTTAAGAGTTTACATTTTATAAATTGAGATTAAACATCTAAATGGTTTAGATGGCTTTTTGTTTCAATTTTCGCTTTACAAATATGTCTTCTATTGTTCAGTATCAGGTATGTGAAGGATGTCTCTTGGTTCAAAAAGTCATTGCAAAAATCTGAACTTCTGTCTAAATTATTCTTATGCATTAGTGTGCTACTATCTGGTAGCTTCAGAGCATATTATCACCCTCTTGGTTTTTGAAAGGATTAATGTTCACATAAAAGGAAATAGTACAGAGAGGTTAAAGTTATAATGTTCTTATAGCCATCTCAGTAGGAAAAAAATGTCATCTTTTGATTAATTAGCATACTTTGACCTTTCAATGAACTCTTTTTTATTCTTTTGTAATTTTCACAATTATCATATTAATTGAAGTTCTTCATGAGTGTTAGGTTTTCAGGACAAAAACCACTTGAGGAAGAATTAAGAGAGAGACTATATGATGTATGTGATGGATGGATGCAGTTCTAATTTGAGATGTAGACTGGCTGAAACTAGATAAAATGGGATTGGACTGGATTAGTACCAGAACATTATACCTATGTACCACTATAAAATACAAACAAATAGACAGACTAAAACATACTTTGAGTGTTTGTGTACATGTAAGCTATTTGTTGGCATAGTAACTTTTTAAGTGAGTAGACTAACAAACCTGAAAACAATTAATTATACGTTATTTAAGTGTTCATATATTATGGCAAGCTATTTATTCTTAGAAATGAAACAATGACCTTCAATGATTAGAAAAAAAACAAAAGATAAAGTTAAGTAAAAACGAAATGGAATCTAAATAATTCTTATCAAGAGGAGGTTTATTCCTTATTCACCACCTTCGTATATCCTTCACGTTTTTAATGCCAAGTATAAAAGTGAAGAAAACTGACATGCTAACCGACTAATAGTTCAAAAACATTAACTTGAAGAGTTTTTTTAAAACTTAAGACGGTTTAGGTTTGAAGTCAATTTTTACGATATTTAGGTTTATGTGAATTCGGTTTAGTGACTATTCCTATTTTGAGATGTTAGCATTCTCATAGAAAGCTGAATCCTTGAATGACCCATAAAAGCTTGAACAAACTATCATTTGCTGTTTCTCTATTTAAACTTCTATAAATATAAATTAAAGAACAAAAAACCCACCACCATAAAGAAAATTAATGCTCCAAATTATTCTGAATTACTCTAAGAGCAGAGGTAAAAAACTGGTTCATAAATTATACTCCGTATAATACAAAGGATTAAAAAAATGAATGTCAAGACCTCCAGAGAGTTTTATCTAGGGGTGGGCGCGGTCCGGTCCAGTCCAATATTTGGCGGAACCCGTACCCGTACCGTTACTATTCAAACGGTTCGGTTCGGTCTTAGACCTAAACCTGTTCGGTACAGTTCCATTTTCAAACGGGACGGTACCATGCCATACCAATACCAAACAATGCCATTTTTTCCCAAATGTTTAATGGAAAAGTAAAGTTTAGCCATCCTTCAAAAATTCACATAATTTATCCCAAATTGATATGCAAAGTCAATACTTTTTTTGTCAACCAATGTTAAACCCCCTTTATTGGTAATTAATTTAATTTTTAACAATTAAAATTTACATATTCAGGAACTACATTAAATCTCTTCAAAGTTGCAAACTTCAAATTAAATATAATTAAAAATTGACATCCTAATTAAGTCAATATAATGAAACTGTTTGACCAAGAAAAATTAATTTTGCAAATTAATTTGGGACGGTGGTAGTATTACATAATAATAAATTTCAGATAAACTATAGTCGTACAAATTTAAATAATTAATTAAACCATACATCGGTCCGGTTCCTTACTTCATATGAACTAGCAAAGACGGTGAAAGTGTAAAGACACTAGTCAAAGTAATGATATAAATGTAAATTTAAATAATTAATCATACTTCGGTCCGGTTTGGTCCGGTACCGGTTCTCATTTATGAGAACCGTTCATGGCATTGCTTTGAACCGGTACGGGACAAAAAATTCGAGATCCGTTTCAAACCCCGTTTTTCTGTCCGGTACCATACCGGTTCGTTTCGGTGCCATGCCGGTTCGGTATTTTTGCCCACCTCTAGTTTTATCAATCTATTTCCAGTGAAGATCAAAATCATGTTATGTTAATAGAATATAGGCCACCCCACCCCGTACTTTAATCAATGTATGTGTTCGTGATGAATGTTATGTTGTGTTGTTATTACAAACTGATTCTTTAGTTTATAGTTTTTCTAAACTACCTCTCAAATAAGTTTAGCAATGACAAACTAAATTCAAAGAATCAGAAAAATAGAAAAGAACAAAAATTGTAATATGTGGTTGGAAAAGACTAAAAATTGTATAATACAGAACCAATATAAAATTAGCAACCAAAAGAATTTAGATGTCATTGTTGAACCTCATCATCATCTCTTCATCACTTTAATTGATATTTTGAATGATGGATTTAGGGTATTGTCATGTTGCAAAGTCTAAAATACCAAGTACTAAAAGATACTATATGTTAAAATATCCATTATTTACATATAATGCTCATGCTCGTGAACACACCCTCTTTTTCTTAATAACCACACGACCTCCTTATGTATCAAATTTAGGGAGGCAAAAGTTTTTTTAAGGTTGACAAATCCTGGGTTGAAAGAATGACACGGTCCGGGTATCGGGTCGGCACCAGTCCCAGAAACCCGGCCCCGGGTTGAACCGCCCGGGCCCAGCCCATCCCTATCTTTAATGAGAAAAATAATGATGCTAGAACCTCCAAATGTGATAATAAATGCTCCACATTCATCTTTGTATATTGCATTACAACTATTTTCTTTAGTATATTGAAACTTTTACATATTCTTTTACTTGTCTGACATGCATACACTTTTGGTTTTGAAAATTTGTTTGCAGACATTTCTTACACCATATTTTGTTTAGTGATAATTATATTCAAATTTTTTAAAAAAAACTGTATTCTAAAAATAAAACACCACACTACGGAACAATGAAAAATATTAACTCTAAATTAAGGATATAAAATTAAAGAAATGTTAGAAATATACTAGTATGATACTCCGTAGAAGATACGGAATTGACATATACGGAGTACTACTAACCAATGTCCTTGGATGTACATCACTGACAACAGAATGTATTACTCTAGTCCTCTGGTTTGTTTAGAGTGAGATTGGGATATTAAATAGGTACTGCTCCTTGCTACATTGGGGTATTAAATTAAAAGAGGGTTCTGAACATTCACACTACATTCTAATACTTGGAGAATCACGTTGGTTCTCTGCTAGCCAATTTTAAAGTTAATAACTCAAGATTGAGTTGTCAAAATAATGGTTTTGTATTGCAATGAATTTCTGATTTCTATCATTTCTTTAAGAGTGGATTTTCATAAGTTTGGCTCAGATTACGGAGTATATTAGAAATATTCTGGTCTCTCGTTCCTCTTCAGGGTTAAATAGTAATCCGTAATATGTCAGATTTTATCTTAATCAAGAGTACCAAGTTACTGTTATCTCATCAGTCAAATAATCAATGAAATGAAAACTTAAAGAGTTCATCTCAATGAAAAAGCTAACTGAGCTATAATCCTATAACTCACAAATTAGCAAAGACATTTTCCTAAATATGAATTATAAATAAAGACATTACTTTGTAAGTTTGTATAGAAGCTGTTAAATTTGTTTCTTTAAAGATGAAAAATTTGTCCATGAAGAAAACAATTGTAAGTGTTAACAGTTGTTAACAATTGTTTCATATAAACAGAGGATATATGAAATGAAAACTTAAAGAGTATCGGCAACATGACAACTGTTTGAGCTTTTTTTTTTACTGTTTGAGCTTATTATGAGATTGAAGAAATTAAAGGCTGCTGCCTGCCGTTTACAAATCCTCTATAAATATAATTCTCCCTCCGTCCCTATTATATCTTCCAAATAGGTTTGACATAGAGTTTAAGATAGTGGGTATTGTGTGGTGGAGAGTTGTGCAGAGGAGAGATAAATGTGTAAGAATTGTTGTGAACCACAAATTCTGGCCAAAAAGGAAAAGTGGAAATTTTAATTGGGACGGACGAAAAAGGAAAGTTGTAAGTTTATTTAGGGATGGAGGGAGTACATGTTACCTTTTACTATGAGGGCATACCCCGTCTTTTGAATCGTTGACATTTTCTAAAAATTTGCAATCTTAGAAATTCAGAGTCATGTGAATGAGCAGTTCATGATAGTTTATTCGACAAAAATTCTTCTCCTTAGGAAAATCGCCTTCCGCTGCGGTTGGGGGTTGGTTGGTCCAGGCGAATAGGTCTAGGGGTGCGGCTGAAGAAGAGGAGAACTGAAGGCAGCTATCAACTTCATTCAACCAAATTTCTTCTTCTTAGCAGAATCACCTGCCTCCAGCGGTTGGGACTTGGATGGTGTAGGCAAACAGGTTCTGGGGTGCAGCTGAAGAAGAGGACAAATGTAGGCAGCTTACGGATTGGAAGATGGTGGGCGTGTGCCTGAAGGACTGGAAAAGGAAGCTTCTCTATTAATTTACACTGATTTATAATAGCACATCTCTGTAGTCAAAAACATTAAGAGTATAAAAGAGATCTAAAACTTAATTTAGATTATTAAAACTTATTGGTTTTGCATGACTCGTGAAATGAAGAGTAAAGAAGTTGCAACCTTCCAAAAAATTTAAAAGAACTATTAGAAAATACATATTGCAGTATACCAAATAAAATTGAGGAAGCAAAAACACCTAGTCGAATAAGGGCTAGTGAGCTACAGCTCTCAAGGGGTATTTATACATTATATTCATTGGTCACAAAGTTTCCCAATGAGTCTACTTAGTTTTGAATTTTAAATAACATACGTTACACATCCTTTTTTTAGTGATTTTTATAAAATGTTTGAAGTAAGTTTCACTAAGCCTTGATAGCTTATTCAAAAATTATACTATTAATTAATTGAAGTTACAAATAAAATTTATTCTAAAAGTATGTACTAGTGTGAATTTGAGACGATAATTATTACAATAAACTTTATAAGTATATGATGATAAATATGGTATAACAATGAACAAAGAATAATTTTGAAATCGCTAAATATCAAAGTTAGTGTTTAACTAAAGAAATTATATAATTTTATGTTTGATACTTCATGGTCGGGATTAAGCGGGATTCCCGATCGGGATCCCAACTTAATCAGGATTTTAATGTCGGGATCCCGACTTAATCGGGACGGGATACGGGATCCTCTTGTAGTTTGAATCGGGATCGGGACAGGATCGGGATTTGGGCAATCGGGATCGGGATCATCCCGATCCCACCCCTAATATAGATCGTGGGTAGTGGGTAGAGTTTTTTAAGGGCAATAGAAGTGTTCAATTACAGGCGTTTATCAACCAAAATGATGAATCAGCATGTTAATACTTAATAGCACTGTCATAGGAAGACTGATGTCAACAATGTCAAAACTATTTTCTGACATGTCATCCTAACATGGAGTTTTACATCTTGCGTTGAAGGCCATTTTTTTTTTATCAACCCTTCTTCTTGTACCCACTATTGTATCTATTTTTGTACCCACCATGTCTTCATAGACATATTTTTGTCTATGAGCGGGATTGGCAGACAAAAAAAAGAACTCCTCACAGACATAGTGGGTACAAAAGTGAGTACAATAGTGGGTACTAGTTTTTTTTGTTATTTTATTCCAATGTTAAACAACGATTACATAGCCATTTTTTTTAATGTTGACATCCTAGGATCTAGGGCGGTGCACGGGTCGGGTTTGCGAACCCTAAACCCGTTCGGGTTTTTTAATTTAAATACTAGGCCCGACCCTTTGATATTTCGGATCGGGTATTTCGGATATTTTTAAGTCGGATATTATCGGATATCGGGTCGGGTTTCGGATATTTCGGTTATATTAAAAAATATATATAATTGAATAATTAAAGTGTTTAAATTCCACTTTGACAAAAAATTGTACACACTAGTGCACTAAACATCCAAATTACACAAATAATTTAACCCAAATTGCACAAATAATTACACAAATAATTGAACACAAGTATTAATTTAACATATTCAAAGTACACGCTACATAATTTAATATACTTCGAATATTTTGGTTATATTAAAACACATTATAATTGGATAATTAATGTGTTGGAATGCCACTTTGACAAAAATTATACACACTAGTGCACTACACATTCAATCTACACAAATAATTTAATACAAATTGCACAATATAATTAGATTAATTACACAAATAATTGGATGCAAGTATTAATTTACCATATTCAAAGTACACACTAACACATACTGGTATTTCGGATATTCGGGCGGGTCGGGTTGGGATTTTACAAACCCTACCCGCCACCCGATCTAGACCCAATATTAATCGGATTTTCGGTTTCGGGTTTTTCGGGTCGGATATCCACTTCGGTTCGGATAATATCCGAAAAAAATATCGGGTTTTTCGGGTCGGATCGGGTTTTGCTCAGCCCTACTAGGATCCTAGGATTGGCGATGGTCTTGGACTTCGCAAGCTTGAACCTTCTCGCCTTCTCCCTCGTAAAATCCCTAGCAACTTGCAAATACCTTTTCAAGTTTTAATGGCAATTTTCTCACCCAAATTCTGGACCCTTCACCTTTCTTCAAAAAATTCTGGTTCATCATTTCCGCCGCCAAGGAATCAAGTTTCCATGATATCCTTATTACCCACACATATATTTCCTATTCCTATTCAGTCGATTTCCTGTGGCAGGGGCTCCTTCAAAAATTTCTGCTTGTCTCCTCAAATGGAAGGATCTGCTTCGGCAGAAGGGTACCCTAATTTGAAAAAATTATTAGGTGATATGGAATTTCCGACTCAGGAACAGAAGAATCATCGGGCCGTCATTTTTTGGGTATGCTAATCTCGTATCTTTTCTTAACAAACTAAGAACTTGATTTGTCTATGCTGTTGTAAAAGATTTCACGCTTGGTTGCAATATTTTAGATTGTAATGCGCGATGATGAAAGTGAGCTTAAGAAAGAGTTTGGCGAACTTGTTGAGCAGTTTCGGACCTGGCTTAGTTTCGATAATAGGCTGAAAGTCCTGTTTGGACAGATTACTCATCGTATCTTCATGGAGGGTTAGTGTTTGTTGAATAAACCATACTTTTTAATTGTTAATAAACACACCACCTGTTGTCATACATTGTGTCTGATCTTCGTTTGCTTTGGTTCCTTCCTTTTCAATAGCGTGCTGTTCTCGTCTATTAGAGAATGTTGATCGTTGGGTTTGCTGCAGTTCAATTGTGAGTTCAATCTGTGTGCTTACTTTAAACCTCATGCATTAATGATGTTTAGTTTAAATAGTTAAGATTTTATTTTTTCGAGCATACCTCTACATTGATTGAAAGTTTGAAACTGTGAAACAATACTGACAAATTCTATTGCCCTCTTTAGCCTTTTTGATATTTCTCTATGAAGTGATTGAAGTCAGTAAATCAAGCATTAGATTTATGCCAGTCAAATGTGCCAGTGTGTCTGTTAGGTTCCCCTACTAAATATAGGGGCAGGGGCCTTAACCGAGCTAAGATGGGTGGCGGCACGTATAGGGGCAGGGGCCTTGGCCCCCTATATTTTCATTTTTAATAGTACTAGTATTAGATACTCCGTATAAAATAATCAGAACAGATTGGGTCAAAACTACCCTATAGAAGCCTCCTTTTGAGATGCTTTGTGTAGATTTTTTTATAAAATTTTGTAAGCATGATTTTTATGAAGTAAAAATAATATCCATAAAATTTCAGTTTAAAATGCAACCGGGAATACAATTAAATAAATTATGGAATAACACTGATTAAAATGATTTTCATGGAATAACACTAATTATCTTGGTGTAATTTTGTAATACTTTATGTCATTGACTTTCTGATTAAAATTCATACTGAAATTTGGTGTAAATAGTCTACACATTATGAAGAATATTCTCACAAAATTTCATCAAAAAATCCACATGGGAGCACCTCAAGTATAGACACCCGGACGAGATAGATCATGCCAAGTAGTTTTGACAGGATCATTACTCATGAAATAATTGCATAGGACAAAAATATGTTTTATTCCTCAAATAGATACTACCTCCGTCCCCCTAAGTTTGGGACAAGAAAAAGTGGCACAGTTATTAATAAAAGTGGGTTTATGTGGTTGATATTGAATTGATAAAGTAAGAATAAAGTAAGAATGCTTTAGAAGCACACAAGTTTTTCCAAATAAGGTATGGGTCAATCTTAGTGGGACGGACTGAAAAGGTAAAATGAGACAATCATAACGGGACGGAGGGAGTATTATTTAGTCGTATAAAAAATAATTTGATTAAAGTTTGCCAAAACAGGAATGAATAAGTCCTATTTTGAGAATAAAACAATGATAATCCTATTTTTGAACTTTACTTTTGTTTTAGTCCTATTTAGAAATTTTCTCTTTATTGTTTGTGTTCCTTTGTTCCATCATTTGCAATGGAGCCAAAGACTATTTTTTGGCTTTGGGATATGATGAAGTAAAGCAAAATGGCTCACTAAAATGTCTGTGTTTTTCTTTTGTTATGAACCAACAGTTAGTCTATGCAATTTTCAATGCGTTTTCACTATGGCTCATCCGGAAACAGTCTCTTTGTACTTTCATACAAGGGTAAGGTTGCGTACATCCGACCCCCCTTACCCCACCGTAGGTGGGAGCCTTTGCGGCAGTGGGGTAATGAGGAAGAAGAAGAAAGAAGATTGTTTGTGTTCCTTCTTGGCCCCCTATAACTAAATCCTGGCTACGCACAATTTCAAACCCAGTGTAGTCAAAAGCGAGCGCCGGCCTAACGCTTAAGCGCCCCAGGCGCAGCGCACACCAGCTCTAGCTTTTTTACAACAGCCAAGCGCAGCTCCCTTTGTAATTTGCAGGTTAGGCGCTGAAGCGTCGAAGCACTAAAAAGTGCTCACTTTTTAGTGTTAAGCCCAATATTTCAGTGTCAGACTATTTTTAATAAGAAGCTCATATTTTTAATATGATAAAGCCCATCTAATTATCTAAATAATAGGTCAAAACAACATAAACATGCGTTAAACAACACTATATGTTACCTGGCAGCACTCTACGATCAATGACAGTATGTTTTCTTCTCCTTCATTGTTCCACTTTTTCTGTTTTTTTTTTCTTTGTTCAGCATCTACTACTTATAAACTCTATACAAGTCAAACATATATGCGTAAATAACCGGTATAATGGTCTATCATGTGTGACTCTGTTTGTTGTTCCATTTTCTTTCTTCTTTCTTTCTCATCATCTCCTTCTTCTTATATACTTTATACAACTCAATCATTCATATTTATACTACCAGTCTATATTGTGTAACTCTCATCTTCATAATTCTATTTTTTTTCCCATCATGTACTTCTTATAGTCTATCCTGTCGCCGACTAGGAGTCCTGGTGCTAGGGAGTTCTCGCTGACTTCACTCGCCTGGCCAGAAGAGAAACAGTCGCGATAGGCCTCCTCCAGGCGTCACCCAAGCGCCATTTTGCGACAAGTCGTCGCCTTTTTTCAAGTCAAACAACAGTGCGTTGGCCCAGAAAAGAATAGATTTAGGCTTTGTTTTTTTCAAGAGACTAATTTAAGTAAGTCTTTAGGCTTTTAATTGAAATCAAGGCCCAAAGGGATCTGATAATCTTACGGGCTATTTGTTGCCATCGTCGTTTAACTCAAGTCGTAGAGACGAGCATACAAGTCGGAGTAATCCAACGAACAGGGACAGGTCGCCTGACTCGCCCACCTCAGTCCATCGCAGAAGAATATTAGTTCTGAGCAGACGACCAGTATTGCCGTATTTGGGGTTAATTTAAAATTGACCATACATATTAGTATTATGTATGGTCAATTTAAAGATGAAGGCGTAACCGCGTAAAGGATTAGGGTCAATTTTCCGTATTGGCGTATTTGGGGTTAAGCTTGACAGCCTGTAAAGGCTCAAGGCTAAAGTATAAGTGAATACATTTAAATTATACGCAGATAACTAGAAAAGCTATAAATGCATGTTTTTTACTATTTGAATTTGGTTCCTGAGTGAATTTTCCTGGATTAAATTTGCTATATAGATTTTGAGTTATTGACATTTTGACATATTCTATGGAGTATGTTATATGGAGTATGTAGTCAATGAATAATATGATAATTGATAAATACATGAAATAATTAATTTGATGGTATTGGTAGTAGACTAGTAGTGATGTGGTTATTTTATTATATTTGTCATTGTACTTGGAAGAATGAAAGTTCAGGTTTTTAATTAATTGATTTTGTAGTGATGTTATTACTGATTTTGCACTGCAAAAGGCAAGAAAGATAGGTCAATAGGGTGTTACAAGTACAAGTTTGTGATGTATTTTACATGTGTTTGCATTTAAAAACTTATCCTGTTGAATATTAAAAATATTATTCCATCATTTGCAATGGAGCCAAAGACTCACTATCCTTTGGCTTGGAATATGATGGAATAAAGCAAAATGGCTCACTAAACTGTTTGCGCTTCTTTGTAATGAAGCAACAGTCAGTCCGTGTAATTTTCGATGCAACTTTCACTGGGTTTCCTCTATGTGCTTTAGTACAGGGGTAAGGTTTCGTACATCCGACCTCCCCCTACCCCACCATAGGTGTGAGCCTTTGCGACATTGGGGTAATGATGATGATCTCTTTTTCAATATCATTTGTGCCTTGTAAGTATTTTTTTGTCTAGGGCCTCCGAAATGCTAAAGAGTAAAGACGCCCTTGACCTTCTATATATTTTTTGGTCTAGTGGAGTAATATTATAATTAATAAAGTTGTGTATACACACACACACTTATATACGGAGTAATATGTAAACATCATATGCGACGATACTGAGTTACTGAATTGCTTTTCAGCACATTATTAATGAGAGAACTTAGAAAACCCGGTATAGTAGGTCATGAACCGGTCAGGGTCCAATGAGAGAAGATCCAATAAGAGTAGATGGGCTGCAAAGGTGGGATTATTATGTGATTATGTAAATGTGAGATTATTATGAGCAGACCGGTTAAAGGTGAGATCATTATTGTCAATTTTTCCTTTGTAATATATAAAGAAATACAATTTAATTAGTAATATGTTATATTATACGGAATATATAATATATAATATGACTATATATAATGATACATAAAATAATATAATACTCCATCCGTCCCCTTTTAAATGTCCAGGAAGAGGGTGACACGGATTTTAAGAAAAGTGGGTTTGTATGATTGATATTAATTTATAAAGTAAGAATACAGTAAGAATGATTTTGAGCCCTACAAACTTTACCAAATAAGGTATGAGACAATTAAATAGGGACATCCCAATATGGTAAAACGGGACATTTAAAAGGGAACGGAGGGGGTATAGAATGTACGACTAGTCGCCTAGGCGGGTGCCTTATCCTCTAGGCGAAAAGGGTGGCGCCGCGACTCGACTTACCGCCATGACGAATACGGGTCTATCATGTGCAACTCTCTTCATTGTTCCATTTTCTTTCTTGTTTCTTTTTTCAGCAACTCCTTATATACTTTATACAACTCAATCATTTACATTAATACTACTAGTCTATCTTGTGTAATTCTCATCTTCATCGTTCTATTATTTTATCGTTCTTTATTTTTCATCATGTACTTCTTATATACTGTCACTCTATCATGTGTAAGTCTGTTTCTTCATCTTATATAATTTATTTATTCATGTACACTTCATATAATTTAATCATTGATAGTTTCGTGAACGTGGAACTTCAGCCATGGGTCTTGAAGCTGCCAAATCAGCAAAAACAGATTGGGCTTAAAAACACAATTATGGCTAATGAAAATGATGCAAATGCATGACATTAGGGGTGGACTCGGGCCGGTTCGGGCCTGGGCCCGGCCGGGCCTCGGGCCAGGAAAGTTGGGCCCGAGCCCGAACCGCCGGTGGGCGGTTCCGGTTCCGGTTCCGGGCCAAACCGGGCCGGGCCGGGCCGGGCCTAACCGGTTATATTTTTTTTTTTTTTGGCTCTTCTATTTAACCCCCAACCCCTCCCCCTCAACCCCAAACCACCCCAAACCACCTCAAATGGCCCAAAATACCTAATCCAACCCAAAACTTAAAAAAAATTCAAAAAAAAAAAAAAAAAATTAAAAACCGGCCCGAGCCGGCCGGGCCGGTTCACCAAAAACTGGGCCCGAGCCCGAACCGCCCAGCAGCCGGGCCGGGCCGAACCGAACCGGTGGACCCCCCGGGCCGGGCCGGGCCAAACAGTAACCGGGCCGGGCCAAACAGTAACCGGGCCGGGCCGGTTCCGGGCCGGGCCGCCCGGCCCGAGTCCACCCCTACATGACATGTAATTTGGTGAATCTTGAATTATTTCTTAGAAACATGACTTGTTAATGTAGTTGGTTCAATATGATATTATATGTATCATGTTTGATAATTACATAATAGTACAAGTGATATTTTCTAAGCAATGCGCCTACATGAGTCAGGCGAGCACTTTCGTGCACCTTGCGCCTCAGGCAATGGGACTACTCTATCGCCTTAAGTGCGCCTCACGACTTTGACTAGCTTTTTGTCAAACCTGTAAAGGATGCTATGTTGTTAAGTGGTGTGACAATATGACATGAGTAAAGGGTCAGTTTAGTCCTCGAAGTTGCAAAAAAGGCGTCAAATAAGTCCTTATATAGAAGATTCTGTCCGGACGTGCCATTTGAGGTGGCTCCCGGTGGAATTTTGTGATAATTTTTTTTGAGAATCTTATTTATTAAGTCTAGTTTATTCATACCAAATTTCAGCTAAAAATTCAACCGGGAAGACATTCAAATGAATTCTTCAAGATAACAACGCTTTTAACGGCACAGTTATCTTCAAGAATTCATTTGAATGTCTTCCCGATTGAACTTTTATCTGAAATTTGGTATGAGTAAACTAGACTTAATGAATAAGATGCTCAAAAAATTTCATCAAAAAATTCCACCGGGAGCCATCTCAAATGGCACGTCCGGACAGAATTTTCAATATAAGGACTTATTTGACCCCTTTTTTGCAACTTCGAGGACCAAACTGACTCTTATCCCAATATGACATTCTACTAGCTTTTGACTTGAGAATGTTTAGAAACTAATTAAATTATAAGCATAGTACAAAGACTACATACTTTAGTTTTTTGTTTTCTTTTAGTGGCCACACTTTTTTTTGTCCATGAGTTTAATAGCACGCTATAGCAGCGTAGTGGCACCTGGATGCAGAGAGAGACACTGTAGCGGATCAGTTGGTTGTAGTAAAAATATCTGACACTATTGCAAATTTGCAAAATCATTCAATTTCTGAGTTCTGGGGTTATTCGGGTTTTTAAATCTTTAAAAAGAATGGCCTTATATAGGAGTACAAACGATGTGTGTTTTTTCGATAGTAGTGCTTTGTCTGTTTCTGTGGACAGGTACATGAAAAGTGCTGTCTGTAAATGCATAATAATATCGTAATGTCAATATGATTTAAGGAAAACATAGTATTGTTATTTAAGGGAAATATGATGTATTAGACGGGGTAAAGTAGGCATTTTAAATAAAATGTTACTCCTCTAAAGACTAAAATCCTTCTATGTGCCTATCATCTATCAGAGTGTTTTTAGAACATCGTTCTTACTTAGTCATACACGACAAACCAGACTGTTTTCTTGTGATGAGTGACCCTGTTTTTTTTACTACTTTTCATTCTTCTTAGTCATCTATGTGCTTGTTTAGTATCGAGTATACTGGCTTGTCAATGCCACCAGAAAATATGAAATAAGCTTTATCAAGCTTGACAGTGAATACCGGGCTCCATTTTAAATAATGGAAATAAGTTTAATATTTAAAGTAATAAATTTATTTTGTGGATATGCTATGTGTATTTTATCTAAGTATATCCGTATCAATGTGTGTAAAATTATCTATTTTACATAATAATTATGATAATAGTGGTCATCCTGCAATCCACTATAGCATTTTTGGGGTAGGCTGCTCTGATCCGCTATTCTTCACTATCCGGGATTGACAATATTTGTTTTGGATGTTGTTTTATCGGTGGTAATAATTTATTTGATTTTCAGTTTAAAATTCCTCTTGCATCTTTACACATGATCATCATACTGTAATGTTAACTTATGCAGTCATCTACTTCACTTATTCATGTTGCAGGTGCATAGCAATTTTACCCAGCTTTCTCAGAAGATACCAATGTTTATGGAACCATCATTTGGTTTTTTCCGGACCAAAAATACCAAGGATACGATTGATGGTGTGATGGTATTATAATCTAGTTTTCCTACCTTCATTCCAGTGTTTATTTATTAATTTGTTACTAAAACACCTTAGAGTCCATTTGGTAACAATAAAATTGTCTGAATTGGCTAATTCTTGCTGAAAGTTATGAAAATGTGGCTGAAGTGGTTGTATTGGTTGAATCTTCTGATTCTTGAAAAAATTATATTTAAAATATTTGTTATTAATAAATATAATAAAAAATTAATTCAAAAGAATAGCTAAAATGATCCTCTACAGCAACTTCAGCTAATACAGCTAGAAAAGTAACTCCAACCTTACTATTTCTGCTTATAACACAATTTAGTGCGCAAAATAAAAAGTTATGTGTTTAGTGAAGATAAGCCGGAAATAGGGATTACCGGCTCTTAACTGATGCTCCACCACTATTAAAGAAAGCAAATGTATATAGTTGATGGGTTGGGGAGTTCGGGTTCCCAGTTCTTTTGTTTTAATTTTTTTCTTCATTTTACTGAACAAGTGCTCATTATTGTGTCATGGTAATTATATCCGGGCTTCAGTTTATGGTGATGGTAGGTGTCGAGGGCGATATATCTGACAAATGTGAGAATCTTGAAGAACTTTTGCAGCAGCTGAACACTTTTGAAGGAAAAATAAATGTAATAATCAGGAATCATAAATTCACACATCCTTTGTATTGCCATTAACTTTCTTCTCATTTATAATGGATGCATACGTGTCTAATTTCTTGTATGGTATTTTTATTTTATAGTCGATTTCACCAAGCTGCATAAGCGTGAAGCTCGACAAGGAAAAGGTGGAAGAACTTGAGAAATATTCTCAGGTAACCGTTGGAGATTACAACCTTTGAGAGAACATTTTAAGAATTATAAATCATTTGTGTTTTTTTAATATTATCTTCATTTGTGGATGCATACTAGTAGTAGTACTGTTACTATTTCTATTATTATATTATTATTACAAGTTTTCAAGCCCCGTGCATCACGGGCAGTATGTAATTTAGCTAATTTGAATTTTGATTTCTTTTAGATCATATATAATGTGATTTAAAAGAAAAATAAACTTAGTCTAATATAGAGCCTGTTTGATAATACTAAAATAAATCGATTTAACTTATTTTATTGAAATTGATTAAATTCTGGCTGAATCATGAAAAAAAATATGTAAAAATATATTCCATTTGTGAAGCCAAGAAAAAGTTATATAAAAAATAGTTAAATTGATCTTCTACATAAGCATCTCAAGTAAATATAATTGTTATGAACCCGGTTTTAAAGAATTCATAATCTCATGTCCTCTGAATTACTTTATTATGCACCTCAAGTATTTTTTTTCTACTATTCCTCATTCAACTTGATGTGAAATACTGAGTGCATACTTTTAACATGTAATAATAAGATATTACTCCCTCCGTCCCATTTAAAGGTTCCCGTACACTATTCTCCGGTCAACGTGCATTGTTCTTAATCTTTTACTTTTTATATCTAAAGTTTATGAAATTTAAATTATTTTTTGCAGGTTTTGTAGCGGGTTTAATGTAGTTTCTGAATATGTAAATTTTGTTTACTAAAAGTAATTCTATTAATGACAGGGATCAGTTAACTTTATGGTCAGTCAAACATCGTAAATCGTGTGGGAAGCTTAAAGTGGGACGGAGGGAGTACATTTTACTCATTATTTTGACACTCCGTAAATGTAAAAAATGGAGTTTTTTTAACATTTTACGCATTATTTCGTTACATTAAAAACATTTTTTAATTGTTATGAACATCTAAGTTACTTTATTGAGCATTTAAAAATAATACTTTTCCTGTATTTCTCATTCAACTTGGTATGAAATACACATTTTAAAATTTTAATTGTGAGATATTACATTTTACTCATTAATAAGGACGTTTTTAATTGAATTAAAATTTTGGGTTTGATTTGGTATGAACTTCTGGTAGATGTTTGTTTTACATTTTATGTGACTTATGATCATCGTCGTCCTCATTGTCATCCTCCTCCTCGTCCTCCTCCTCATCGTCGTCCTCGTTGTCATCCTCCTCCTCGTCATATGGATTGCATAAGTGCTTCTTTGGAGTTAGCTTCTCAAATAAACTTATGCTTCAGAATAAGAAATAATTACATAAATATGACCAAAGTAAAGATGATTTACACAAATATGATTAGTTACTAGAGTAGTAATGAAATCATAGTAGTTCATGTTCAATTTTTGAACTTAAGTTACCACAACACTACGTTATAGTAATGAATAATCATATTTATGTAAATAAATTTTATTTTAGTAATAATCTTATAAAAAACCCTCAGAATAATTCTTCTATTTGGTTTCTACTTTGTTTAGCCGGGGACCTTTTGTGATCCCCACTTTTGCACATATTTTGAATCATTTAAAAAAAATTAAAAAATACTCGAGTATGTTTTTTGGGACATTTCAAGCCATGGGTGGACTCGGGCCGGTTCGAGCCCGGGCCGGGCCTAGGCCCGGTCAGGCCTCCGGTTCAGGAATGGGGGGCCCGGAACCGGCCCGGGTAATCCCCTGTTCCGGGTCGGGCCTTAGTTATTTTTTTTTTCTCTTTTCCTAGTTAACCCCCAACCCTCCCTAGTGGTGGACCGGTTCCGGGCCGGGCCCGGTTCGGGCCTTGAACCGGCTGGGCCTCGGTTCAAGGTTGGGGAGGCCCGGAACCGGCCCGGGTAACCCTGGGTCCGGTTCTGGCCGGGCCGGGCCCGGTTCCGGTTCTATATAATTTTTTTTTTTGGGGTTTTTTTAATCAACCCCCTACCCTCCCCCTCAACCCCAAACCACCCCAAACCACCTCAAATGGCCCAAAATAACCAATCCAACCCAAAAACTTAAAAAAAATTCAAAAAAAAAAATTAAATTATATCCGGCCCGGACCGGGCCCGAACCGGCCGGGCCAGTTCACCAAAATGAGAGCCCGGGCTCGGAACCGGTAGCCACCGGGCCGGGTCGACCCGAACCGCCCATGGACTGGGCCGGGCCGGTTCAAACAGTGACCGGGCCGGTTCCGGGTCGGGCCGCCCGGCCCGAGTCCATCCCTAACCCTCCCCCTCACCCCCAAACCACCCCAAATGGCCCAAAATACCCAGCCCAACCCAAAAAGTAAAAAAAATTGAAAATAAAATGAAAAAGGCCCGGAACCGGGCCCGAACCAACCGGGCCCGAACCAACCGGGCCGGTTCCTGAATTGGGGGGCCCGATCCCGGACCGGACCCCCAGCGGGTGGAGCCTATCCGGACCGGTCACTGATCGGGCCACTGGGCCGGGCCGGGTCAGAACAGTGCTGGCTCGGGCCACCCGGCCCGAGTCCAGGCCTATTTCAAGCTATTAAACCATAATTTTAACATCATTCAACTAGTGATGGATCGGGATCGGTCGGACTGGCCTGGTACCCGGCCCCGACTGCCACTGTGTGAAACCGAATCGGCCCGGTTGACCGGGATCGGGTCTAGGACCCGATCTGGGGGTATTTTGGTGGCCCTTTTCTTTTTGTTTTTTTCATATGGCTTGGGTAAGAGGCGGGTTGGGCTGTGTGGTTTTGGGAGTGGGGGTAGAATTAACAAAAAAAAACCAAAAAAAATGAATAGTACCCGAACCGGCCCTGGCTCGGTCCTGGAACATAGACGGGCCGGTACCGGGCCTCCATTTCCCAAACCCGGTCCCGCCCTAATCCCAACCTGGACCTGGTCTCGATCCAGGACCGGTCCATCCCTACACTCAACGCAACTAAACTTTACCCTCACCTGGGTAGGGCTCTTGTGGTTACTATCACTTCTGATAGGACGATACATTTCTCCTTGACCGCATAACTAAAGAAACTACTCCCTCTGTCCCATAATTATCTCCATTCTTTCCTTTTTAGTCCGTCCCAAATTTATCTCCTCTTTCCTTTTTTAGCAAAGGATTTGTGGTTCACAACCATTTTTACACATTTCTCTCTCCTCTGCACAACTCTCCACCACACATTTCCCACTTTCTTAATCTCCGTGCCCAGTCAAAACCGAAGTTAATTCTGGGACGGAGGGAGTACTACGTATACTCCGTTTTCAATCATAACTCTTCATAAAGTAACTTTTACCTTTCATGTGCTCAGTGGATGCTTTATTACTTGACAGTTGACACTAGGGTGATAAACGAATCAAATAATTTGTGCTCGATTCGCGATTTGAATTTGTATGAGACGATTCGAATTCAAAAAATTCAAATACAAATAAGAATATTAAATTTGATTCGAATTAATATCAAATACAAATAAGAATATCAGTGTATTCGAATTGAATATTAATCAAATATATTTGTTTAGTAATCTATATCTATATCTATATCTATATCTATATCTATATCTATATCTATATCTATATCTATATCTATATCTATATCTATATCTATATCTATATCTATATCTATATCTACAGAAATGCTCAGGTCCCTCCCTCCCCCGTCCAGCCGCCGTCCGAACTCCGCCATTCGGGGCGGTTCCCGGTGGAATTTTTTGATGAAATTTTTTGAGCATGTTCCTCATCAAGTCTAGTTTGTCCATACCAAATTTCAGCTCAAAATTCGACCGGGAAGGCAGTCAAATAAATTCTTGAAACTTACTGCACATTCTGCGCATATATAAAGTGCAGTATATATGTTCATTTGTTCTTCTTATATTTGTTTTTAACATTTGTTCTTCTTTTGTTTTTAATTGTTCATCAGCTTTTAATTTTTTATGAATTTCCAATTTCTTCTTATATTTGTTGTGTTTCTAAATTATTTGTCTTTTTGTTTTTTGTTTTGTTTTTGTTTCTGCCGGTCTGCTATTGATTTGTTAAGCTCTCTTTGGTTTCTTTTCCACTTACTTTTTTCAATTTCTTATTCATTAGACTTGCTTTACTAGATTTATAATCATGGAAATTCCTAGAGATTTAATTTGAATTGTTGAAGGAAATGGGAATCGAAAGTGCGGGACACTTCATTTCACGCAGTAGCATTGTAAAGATATTTTTTCCACCTTTGTGAATATGTTTGTAATGATATTTTTTGATATTGTAAGATTTTTTTGTATTTCGCCAAACATTGTTGGGATTGACATTAATATTAGTGTTGATTGGAATTGTCATTATTACAATGTTATTGTTTATATCATTGACATTGTTTATTATCATTGTCATTGGTATTGTTATAATCATTGTCATTGTTATAATATTGACATGTTTATACGATATCATCATTTTACAATACTAACATTTTTGGCATAATGACATTTTCCTTATTGTTGTGACATTGTTAGTAGAGAAATTGTTGACATAATTTTACAATGTCATAACATCACAATGACATCAACGAACACAATGTCATCAACCAATACAATGTCAATTCTTGACAATGACACAATGTTAACATCACAATGTCATCAATAAATACGGAGTATATAGTAACTTCTTAACAATGTCAAATATTATTACACAATATCACTATGTTATCAATAAAATAATAACAATCATTCAAATTATTACAATATCGTAATATTATCAATGAAAACAACAACATAATGTCACAATGATATTACACAATGTGGCATTTGTTTTACAATGACATTGATCTTCAAACAATGACATTATATTACATTTTATATTACATTGTCATTCAATGACATTGATTTTAAAATAATGACATTGTATTACATTGTCATATAATGCATGGTATTGATTTTGAAACAATGGCATTATATTTCGTATTACATTGATATTTATTGATATTCCCATTACTTTGTTTTTGAAGAGTCAAATTTCAAAACCCGGTTAAAGTTGTAAAAAGTTAACAATGATATACACAGGGCAGCTGTGGAGCAGTACAAATTGAATTCATGATTTTCCCCACTAGCTGTCGGTGCTTGAATTCATAACAGCACAAATTGAAATTAAAATTTTAAAACAAGTACTCTGGCATTTTATAATGTACTCTGGCAGTATTAAACTGAACTCAGTTTGAAAGTGTATATCAGTATCAAAAATTCCTTTTGTACACGTTTTTGTACCCATCAGTACACGCATGTGTCTGTGAGAGTTTTTTTTTGTCTGTGAAGCGCGGTCCACAGACAAAAGCTGATTTGTTTTGTCTGTGAAATTTTTCACAGACAAAACAAGCCAACTTATGTCTGTGGACCGCGCTTCACAGACAAAAAAAAACTCTCACAGACACATGCGTGTACTGATGGGTACAAAAACGTGTACACCAAGAATGGTTGATATCAGTATATGGTTGTGTTGGTTAATTGGTTAATACTCCGTCGTCGACTTTATGTAGGTAAAATGTACTCCTTAATATTGGATTATTATTGGGGAAGTATGATTAAAAAAAAAATTGGGGGTATAAGGGTTGGACTATCTGAATAGGGAATTTTTGGAATTCATGAAATTTTGTATTATGAGCATCTTTTTGTATCGTATAATTTATTGAAAAAATGGCCCATCTATCACTACCAGACCTTTCATTACAAAAAAAATACAACTTTTGCATATTCCAAAAATGTGACCCGTGTCCAACCAAGCAGCCCATCTCCCCATCCAACATCATCGCATCTTCTCCATCGAACATAATGGCACATCATCGCAGAGCCAACCTCGCTCCATCTTCACTTCTCCTGCGCACGAACATGGAGGACGGAGCAAAACTTCGACGGCGAGAAGACCTCCAGAGAAGAGAACGGACCTCCAGAGAAGACGATGGTGAGAAAACCTTAAGAGAAGATGACGGCGACCTCCAGCGAAGACGATGGCGACCACCACTGCGGCACTTCAACCTCTTCGCTGCTGCTGTTGGCTTCAACCCTTTCATTCCTTTAACGATGGCGCTGATTGACAAATTTCAGATCTGTGGCTGCAATTACAGATCTATGGTGGCTATTTCAAATTGTTGGTGCAAGGATGTCTCGCCGGTGATGCCGCTGGGCGGCGCTGGGTGGGTTAGGGTGTGGTTTCCGGCAGCGCTGGGGTAGGGTGCGTTGTGGCTGATGCAGGGGGTTGATGAGGAGGGGCAAGGGCCGAATCTGTGTTTGGGCTGGGGTTGAGGCTGATGTTGAATCCGGTTGTGACTGGGGAAGGGGGCAGGGAGGGACTAGGTGGTGGTCACCGGAAGAAAACGGTGTGAGGGCGGCCATTGGGCGGAATGGGCGGTGTCACTATGGCCGCCGTCGGTGTCACTGCGGCGGTGTCACTGTAACCGCCGTTGGTGTCACTATGACTGTCGTCGGTGTCACTGTAGCTGTGGGCAATCAGCGGGGCAGTCACTGACTCATTGTGGCCGGCCGAGCAGTCATTGTGGCCGCCCGAGCAGTCACTATGGCGGTGGGGTAGTCACTTTGGCCGGAGTCACTTTGACCGGCGGCGGCGGCGGCGGAGGAGGAGGAGGTGGTGGTGCTGGGTCGGCTGCCATGGAGCCGAGGTGCTGGTGGCTGCAAAATATGTAAAAAAGGAAGATTGAAATAATAAATGTATGATTAAATAAAAAGAATAAATGACTTTTAATCACACTTTTGGAAAAATTTAAAACATGTCACTTTTTTGGGGTTTTCATTCAATTTATTTTTACTTTTTTTGCTCTAGAAGAAAAATCATCGCTTTTATGTGGGGTAAGAGTTGGAAGTCTTTTTTTTTTCTTCTTTTTTTTACCCCGGAAGGCAAACCATCCATCGGTAAGGCAAACGCTGAGGGACATTTGTCGAGTTTTGTTAATATTTAGATCAAATACAAAAGAAGAGAGGGTCCAAACCTAAACCTCTCCCGAAGAGGCATACCTTTTCCAAGTACATGAAAGAAAAAATAAATGCATTTGGGGGTTTTTACCACGTTGTATTAATAGGAGTACACCTGCTGCAAGCCTAAGATGTTTTTATTTAATTTGGGCTGTAATTTGCTGGTCTGGTCTGGTAAATGTCTGGTTTATGTGTATTTCATAACTACAGAAGTCTAAGTTGATCTGGTTTGTTTAAGTTTAGACTGGCATGTTTAAGTCTGATCTGATCTAGGACTAATTGACTAAAAACCTTCTAAGTAAAAACATTCTTATTGTAATAATTATTTCTTCTTTTTTCAGAACGTTGTTTACGTAAGTTCTGAGTTCTACTGTCTTTTTCTTAATTATAACTATTCATTATATACAAGGTACATAATATTACATCGATAATCGTTTGATACATTTCACCAATTTTTAACACACACATGTATAGGGGACACATAATGCTTATTGTGTAAAAATTTGTACCATGCATCTTTACGCTATTTGTATTGCATATTAACATTCAAAATACTGCATACGGAGTATTATTTTTAAATGAAACAAACAATTGCATATTGACGTTCAAAATACTGCATCGTAATAAAGTTTGATTTTATTACAAAAATTCCATCGTGCAAATATATCATTTTTGTAGTTGTTAAATAAGGAGATGTTTGTATTAGATCCTTTATCTACACACATACTAGCTCCAACCCACTAAGTTTGGGACAATTCGGTTTACAATGAAGTTTGGGACATACTACCTCCACCCCACTGCATCGTAATAAAGTTTGGTTTTAAGATGAAACAAGCAATTGCATATTGACGTTAAAATATGGATATGTTTGTGGTCGCTTAAGTGGTCATTGTAAAAGTTTTGATGTCTCATTTGACTTTCAATTTTTTGTTTTAAATAATACAAGATTCTCTATTTCGGCCGTGCATCGCACGGGTGAGAATGCTAGTGACAATTAAAAGAGAATGATAATTAGAACGATTGGTAAACTAAATATCGTTAAATTAAATAGATTGCTACATTAAATGACAGGTTACAAAAAGTTTCAAATACTACACCGTCACCACCTACAAATACATCTTCAGTGCGATCTTCCCTTCAAAACAAATATGATAAACCAAATAAATTAATAAATAAAAAATAATAATAAATAATAGTAGTAATAATAATAATAATAATAATAATAATAATAATAATAACAACAATAGTAATCATAACAATGGTAGTAATAATAACAATAGTAGTAATAATAATTATTAAAAGAAATGTAGTAACTTACATCATTCTTCCTACCACATGGTGGAGTGGCGTGGGGGATCACAACCTCGGCTTTCACTCTGACCATCATCATGAGTATATCCTTGTATGAAAACATAATCATATAATCCACCACTTGTTTCTTGGTAATAAGGATCTTGATATGTGGATGGTTGGTAGTATGAAGAAGCTTGATCATTTCCATATTGATCATAACAGGTGACATTGGGATACTGGTCAAATGGCACATAATAGTGACTACTACTAGAAGATTCATCATTACCACTATAACCGAAATTCGGTCCAACACTTGAATATGATGAATCATCTAATGCAACATTATGATGTCTGTTTCCTCTTCTCCTATTTGACCCGGATCTACTGCTCTCACACAATGAAGGATGATCGGTAGTCATATCAATTAAACTCCTATAACGCTTCGAGGGTTGGAAGTCTGTCTGAATCTCACTCGCAGTGTCATCATTACCATCATTATTGGGGTCCCCTAATCCTCCATTACCATCATCACCACCACTATCACCACCATCATCACCATCATCATCACCACCACCACCACCACCACCACCATCATCATTTTCGGCTTCCATATTTTCATCATCGGTGTCCATCAAAGGCAACCATGAAGAATTTTGTAGTCCGTCTAATAATGGATTCTCCCTCTCTTCAATCCATGGAGATAATGCATCACTTTCTTCGAAAATATAGTCAAGATTAGTGTCCTTATTAAACAGTATATTAAAAAAACAAATACAACAGTTTATGTTAAGTCCACTTCCAAATTAATAATAGGTGATGACTTCGGTACTCATTTAAAAAATGGGGTACCGTAGCTACCATGCATTTGATTGGTCCAATCATTATATCCTTTTTAATTTAGATTTAAATAATTCGACTGTATCATTTTGATTAGTCCATGTGGAAAAAGATATGAATCATAAGAGTACCATAGAATCTACCTAATAATAATACATATTTGCGTTTCATTTCCAATTTCATTTGCATAATCCATAATAATATCATTTCCGTTCCAAATTGTTTTGTTAAGTCAAATTTTTTTCGTCAACCAATATAAATCATCCTTATTAATCATTAATTCGGCTTTAATAATTGTAATTCATGTATTTATTAATATTTGCTACCATAATGTATGTGGATAGATGTACATTTAATTTTGAGTTTCACTAATGTGTTTTTTCACATCATTCACACAACATTTACACATTTACACATGCAACAGTTCGTGATGTACTGCCGGAAATGTCGATAGCGGCCGGTAGCGGGCTGTAGCGGGTTGTAGCGGGTTGTAGCGGGCGACGTAGCGGATTTTCCCCGTGATTTGGAAATCACAAAGAAATAGCGGGCTGTAGCGGTAGCGGCCCCTACCGCAACCGCTATATAGCGGCCGCTATAGCGGTAGCGGGCCGCCATTTAAAACCTTGGGTAAGCCGATGCAGTGTCCTGGCTTTTCTGCGGTTGGCTTGGGCGAAGCCTGCCCAGTTTTTGTTGTTGCTATGTTCTGGCCGAAGACGCTTGGACGTTGGTGGTCCCAAGATGAAGGGTACTGCATCGGACCAACTTGCTGGCTTATGATGGCCGATGGATGATGGCCGATGGATAATGGGCGATGTGTTGTCAGTCGATGGGTGTGCCAGCTGACGGGCGATGCGGTCTGGCCGGCCGATGCGGTCTGCCCGATGGGTACGTGACGGCTGACGGGCGCAGACCGTTGCGTTGCAAGCTGATGGGGGAGCAGCCGGCTGTCGTTGTGGCCGAGGGCGTCAACGGGCCTTCCTTGGGCGTCATCGGCCGATGGTGTCGCCGGCCGATGCGTCGCAGCCGAAATGTTGCTGGCCGATGCATGCTGGCCGTTGTATGCCGGCCGATGCGGTGCATCCCTTGGAGTACGTAGCAGGTCATCCGTTAAGGGTAGGGGTGGGCATGGTTGGTAAACCGGATTTTGGTTAACCAACTTTCCGGTTAATCGAGAAACCGCTTACTTCGGTTAATCGAGTCGGTTAACCACAAACCATTTAAACAACAAAAGATACGTCAACAGTCCTAATATTACGTCGCTCATCCAATTAGTCCCAGTGATTCACTCTCATGTGAGAATCAAATTATGCATGTACTCCGTATAGTATTAATTATGCATTGCGCCGTGTTTTTATTCATCAACTGATTGTGCCGTATGAGAAAATAATTAATTTATTAATCAACCAACAATAATTTAGCTCCTATCCCACCATTTTTTGGCTTTTTGCTCGACATTAATCTACGTACTACTCAATAATACTCCGTAATAAATTAGTAACACACGTTGTCGTTCCTAGTAGGCCACCATACAATCTGTTAGACCCCTTTTTTTTGACCGTGTAACACAATCCATACTCATGTAATGGTTTTTGACTGTGAAATTAGTTTAGAAATAATATTTGAACTTTGGATGATTGGTTAACCGGTGGTAATTTTATTTGATAACCGTAACCGGCATGTCCCGTTCTTTTCTTTCGGTTGGTTAACCGTACCGTGAATTTGTAAAAATACGGTATGGTTAACCGAAATACACACCGTTTTTTACGGTTAGTCGGTTAGGGTTTTTTGTGCCCACCCCTAGTTAAGGGCGGAGGAAGAAGCAAAGGTGGAAGATGTGGCAGTGGAGGAAGGGGCGGTAAATCGGTAATTGTGAAAGAGCTGGCAAAAGAGGAAGACCTGGTAGGGATGTGGCTAATAAAGCATCAGGAAGTGAAGATTTAGTAGAATAAATGTATTAGGTAGCGTATTGTGTGTATAGTTTATGTAAAATTTTGGAATAACCGGCTAGCTTTTTTGAGTTGCAGCCTTTTTTGGGTGTTTTATATATTTCAACTCATTTGTTAAGAGCTGAATATTTGCATCTACAATGTCTTAGACTGCCAGTTAAGTGGTTGGATTACCTTAAATGTATTCAACATGTTCATGTCATTAGACTTCATCTCTTAAATCTGTTACTTCAATTTGGTTAGTTATGTATTAAATGTCCAACTGGGAGTTTATTTCACCTATTTTAGAAATTGTCTTGGTTAATTTTCTAGTATACTAGTATTTAGTAATGTAAACAATAATGTCATACCAAAGGTGATAGGTAAAAAATGTTTATACCAAAAGAGGTATATCAAATAGTTACTATTCATAATTGATGATCACCAAGAAAATCGAAGTAAAATTAACACACAATAATATGTAAAAAATTACAAATTCTGAAACACTTCATTGTACACGACATTTGTGGTCACATTTGTGGTTTTCTCATTGTCGTCAAAAATTAAAGTTTTCAGTAGGATTGG